CTTGCCTTGCCTTGCCTTGCCTTTCTGTAAAATTGACAGACCATAGTAGCCACGTTTGCTCAGCCATGACTTTGTCCAAATATGTCGTCGCCTTTTCTTTTTAGGGCTTTCAGCACACATAATTGCAGTGCGTTTCACTCTAGTGAGCTTCATATTCCTCTTCTACTCGTTTGGCTTCCGGATAGACGAATCTTAGTAGCGCCATCTCACCGTGGAGCTGAGTCCGATGTGGTTTTTAGATGCACAGTATGAGCAGGTAGATCGCATATAAGTATTGTGCTGCACAGTATGAAAACATACATCGTGAGCTGTGAACTCACTCTGTACGACGAAACCCTGTGGTTTTGTCGTACAGAGTGAGCTGTAGCTGCGTGCAACGAAAAAATCACAGTGTACGCCCGGCTTAATAGGGCTCTGAGCAAAGATGAGCTTTTGTGACATGGGTAAGTAAATCAAACATTGGTATATGTAAAAGTTATGAACTTATAAGAAATACATGATCAACTATAAATCATCATCTCGACAAATATGATGAAAAATCAAACAAGTGTTTCGTTAGCATGTCACAACTATCAACATCTGTTGGTTGGGTGGTGGTGGTGGAAAGGTTCGCTTCGCTTCTTCTTGTTCTTGTTTACTACTGGTGGTTGGCTTTGGTCGCAGTACCGCCACCTTCTGCTCTGGAGTGTAAACGCTTCGCCTATGAGAAAAAGGAGCAGCGCATGAACCGAACGCAACACATGCGAATCGTACCGAGACAGTCGAACCGAACGGTTTGGACGGTTTTCATAAACCGTTCCATCCCTATTGGGCGGTAATTGTGTAACGGATATGTGTTTCTGGAGTGTTTACAAACAGGAGTGTTTACGCATCTGAAATTAGAAATTAATCCTAAATGAGGTCCTAAATATTTTACAAATCCAACATTTCTAAATATTCCTCCTGATGCTCAATAAGCCAGTTTGTTGTAAAAAAGAAAAAAAATCTTTTATTCTAAATAATGTTTATTTTAAATTTCCGAAACATCTTCACACAGTGCAGTTTATTCCAATCGTGTGTAATGACCTACTTTGGACTTAAAGAAATAGATAAATAAATAGACAGCAGCAAATATGAAATAAAAAATATGAACAAAGATGTTCAGTTGTCTAGTCAAAGAGCCCATTAAACATGATGTGGTCAGGTTGAGTGGGTTACTGACTGCCTTACAGGTTATGAATATGTAATTTATTCATGAAGCCACCTCTTTAATACATCATCTACCTTGGTGTGGTGGCTTTGGGAACTTTGCAGATGCAGCAGGATTTGATGGGGACATAAGAAGTGCATTATGCAGTCAATAACAACCAGTCACATACTGTAGTGAGATAAAAAGGGGCAGGTTAAAAGGTTAAGAATTCAGTACATTTTTATGAAACTTGAATTGTTTTGTGTTGTCTTCATTTGAAAACTGCAGAATAATTTGTCATTGTCAAGGAAAACAAGTTTTCCTAAGAATAAATTTAGCATGAGCACTTTTATTTGCATTGTTTCAATCCTTTAGAATAGAAATAATATCCATTTCAAGCAAGTGTCTTCATAAGTTGTCTAATTCAAGAGAAGGGTAATTCAAAGGGTAAGCAGTTCCGTGAAGGCCTAGAGGTTTTGCCTGAGAGCAGTAGAAAAATAAAATCTACACTAGACACTGAAGTTACCAAAGTGAACAACATTAAGTCTGGAAGAAAGTCAGAGGTATGGAATTGGAAAATTTAGAGCTGGCTTAGGTTTTACTAGGAATTATTCGACAAGGAAGTGATCAAAGCTGCCACTCTTTCTTTGTTTCTTTCTTTCTTTGTTTCTTTCTGTCTTTCTTTCTAGCTATCTATAATCTGTCTATATCTTTCTCTCTATATATATATATAGATGTAGAATCCGTGCAGCATGAAACTCAATGGGGATCGAAAAAAGGAATCAAAACCAGAATCATTCAATGTAATGCCCTAGCCTGGCATCCAGGAGTGGTGGCATGCTAGAAATGAAGCATGAATCACTGCTCAGGCCAGTCCAGGATTACTTACATTGATTGATTGTTTGATTTACTTTATTGATCTCACAGTGGAGGAATTTACTCATAACATAAGCTCAAATATACAGTATATTCAGTGCGTCCACATATGGCAGCTTTTTTTTTAATAGTAGGATCCTTATACAGGGTTATTGCACAGGGTGTTTACATGGGTATTTATATATATATAGTTATTGCACTGGGTGTCAGATATAGAGAACTGTTGTTATTGGACAGGGTAAAATGTATTGCCGTAGTGTATCATTGTAGAGTGTGGTTGCAGCAAGGATGAATAACCTGCGGTAGTGCTCCTTTTTTACAAAGGGAGTAAAAGTCTTTCACTAAAGGAGCTGCTCTAACACTCTACAGTCTGGTGCAGAGGGTGGAAGGTGTTGTCCATGATGGATGTGAGCTTGGACAGCACCCTCCTCTCAGGCACTGAGTCCAGAGTGCAGCCTAGGACAGAAACGGCCTTTCTCACTAGTTTGTTCAGTCTCCTTCGGTCCCGCACTGCGCTGCATATACAATACACACTCTTGAGGATTCTTCTTCGCTGATATTAGGCATTTTCTATTTCTAGTTGGAGGAAGGGGAACAAACCTAAGAATCAAAAAAGGAAATTTGAAGAATTCTGGGAGAATTGAGAGGTTAGAACCAATTCTGATCGATTCTGGATGCCCAACCCTAACCTTAAATTATCTTCTGAGCACATTGAAGAACTTGATGCTGTGTCTATGGTCCATACAGCGCAGCTACGTAAAAAGGTTCTATGTAGGTGATATCTTAAGTAGTTTATTGAGTGTTTATATTTAGAAGCAGAGAAGCATCAAGTGCATGAATGATCCTTGTTGTTATTAAAAATTAAATACCTTTTGACAGTCTTGATCAATGTATGTCTCTTATAAAGCATGCTACTGCCATTACCTTACCTGCAAACACCAGTGAGGCTCCACTTAAGAACGAACAGCGATACCCTCCGCTACAATGCAGGAACACTAACACTGGATTAGAAATTCCTTCTAAGAGGAAGTAATTAATTACAATCTTGAGTTTATTTTTTGGTTACATACCTTAAGCAACATATTGATTCGGGTATTATATCAGTATTTTCCAACAAAGTGACAAAGTAGTACTCAGTTAATTGTGACAGCAATGGGACTGTGCTGGTTAATAGCGAAAGCACTCTGAGTGATGTACATTGTGAAGTCACTCACATCATTCCAAAATATAAGAAACGAAATGCACCATACATTGAAAATGTTTACTGCTTTGGCTACTTAATCCTTTACATTATTCAATTTGCTTCATTTGTATATTGGACTTATACACTCCAACATAAGGTACATAACTCCAAACATTTTACCACTGTCTGTGTTGAATTAATGACGCCTACCATGTTCCTGTTTCATAACTTGGAACCTATTTGTAGACAGATGCTACTTTTCCTGCCTTATAAATCTCATTTTCACCCCCATCCCCCCGACCCAGGAGAGGGAAGTTTGGGAGCTGGATTGCGTTGTTTAGGGTTTTTTTTGTGCTTTTCAAAGCCAGGCAACATTGAAAAAACATTAAACCTACCCAGGTCTAGTGATGACAAGTGCAAAAATTAAGTTATTAGCCTCCTCAGTGGAGGCATATGTCAGCACACATAAATATGATATTTCAAATAGGAACAGGATTATGTACAGTCAAATTAGTGGGGTGGGGGAGGGGGGGGGGATTTTAGAAAGACAAAATCTTAAAAAACAAAATCACATACATAAATATTCTTAAGGCAAAACTCTTAAAATGGAAGGTAAAAAAAATACCATATGCATGCATGCACAGTTATGCATAGACATTTATATGGAAATGAACAGATGTGCTCCATATACAGTGATCATAGAGAAGCCCCCTATAGCTTAAACATGTGAATTCATCCATCTGCCAACTTATACACCAAACAAACTCATGAAAATTAAAGAATATATGCTCAACCACATCTTACAAATAAAATGACCTGTAATAAATTATCTGAATGTTCTTTGTTTGCTTGTAATGTGCTTTGAACTGGGACTGACTTCACTGATTGCTGGATGGAACTAACTTCAGATGGGATTCAGGGGACCATTGCCAAATGTTGGCTTGGCAGACTTTCAGTGGCAACATTCATAATCTAAGCTGGAGACAAAGTATTACAGCCAACAACTAATAGCCTTTGTAATGGAAAATGTTTGACTTTTGATGACTTCTGCTTTATCACACTTAGAAAGAGAGGGTTTTAAAGGAGTTTGATGTTTTAATATTTCTCTGAGTCATTTATCATAAAATATGATTCAGAAATTAAAAATTATGTGGTGTATTTGCTTAGGATAGCGAGTTGTTGTTTTTCTTTATAAGTTAATTAATTTAGCTTTTTTTTAATCTCTTATTTTGTTTTTTCATTCAGCATTGGACCGATATTTATCTGTCATGGAACCCAGACAACTACCCTGGGGTTCAGAATCTCCGTTTTCCTTCCAATCAGGTTTGGGTTCCAGACATCCTCCTCTATAATAGGTAGGCATTATTTGCTCTGTCTCTATTTAACTTTTTTACTCATCTTTTCTTTTCCTCTTTGAAATGGTGTTATATAAAATACTGTTGTTTTTTTTTGACTGCCTAGATTTATTCTTTAACCTTGTCATTTAAGCCTCTTGGGCATGGGGTTTTAGCATATTCTTTTTAAATCAACCTTAATTTTAAGTGCTCAGTTATCTAATTTCTTGTACTTGAATCTGATAATCACATCTCCTAATTGGTTCAGCTTTTAAATCCTCCTTGGTTCTCTTTGTACTAGATTCTTACTTATAATGCCTTCAACCATCTTCTGTGCTTTAGTATTTACCTGTTAGATATTTGCCATCTACATGGGTAAAAATTTTACAAGATCATAGTAACTTCATTATGCAAACTGTTCTAAAGATTGACTGGATTTTGGCTTCAGAGATACATTAACTTTCAATGTCAAAGATTCCACAAGGTGTTTTAAAATATTATTCTCAGATATTTAGGCTCATGTTTATATAAAACCAACACAATTGTCACAGGTTAATAAAGGGGACATCCATAAACTCCAAGGTGTTATTATGGATTTAAATTGTGTAGCTGCGGAGGACTTTGGAATCGAGACATATATTCCTTGTGTTGAAGAAAACAAGGAAGTTTGAGATTATTTAAGCTTTTTGAGAAGGTGTGTGTCCAGCTGGAAGATGCCATCAGAACACAGTACCACTGTATCACCAGCTGGATGTCAGCAAAATCAGGGTAGCTTGTAGGGATCCAAGTTAATGATTAATGAAATAATCTACTGTTGATTGAGCTTATCGATCGACTACCTATCAAATGATAAGTGGCCGTGTTCCTATTAAATGTGTTTATAAGACCAGTGGTGGATAGTCCAGGTCCAGTAAGTAAAAAGCCGATACAGAGATTAGTTCCACCCATTTGCATTTCCAGCTCCAGAACACAGACTTAATTGCCACATTAAGTGAAGAGGATGAAGGTTAATTAAGCAGGGTCTTTACTTTCTTGACCTGGATATATGTCTATACTTTATATTTATGTTATCACTGTTACCTGTCATGTCCCACACTTTATGTCAGTCTGTAAATGTCAGTCTTGTATATTTCTTGTATATTTGTATATTTCTAGAGAGTAAACGTAATTTCATTTCCCTTGTATGTCTCGTACATATTACGAAAGTGACAATAAAAGCTGACTTGACTTGACTTGATTATCCACCTCTGGATATGACAAAAAAAAAAAAAAGAACTTACCCACAGGTTTTTATTAAGTAAGTTTTACATGCATTTGATTTAAATCATAAACACATTCCACATGTGTTCCCCCAAGCCTTAAAAATAGCAATTATCAAACCATTGTTGAAAAAGAGAAGCTTACACAAATCAATGTTGTTGAACTACAGACCCATCTCAAACCTCCCCTTCATCAGAAAAATTACTGAAAAAGTCTAATTCCAACAGTTAAATGTAATGAACAATGAACAGCTGCTTAAAGGTATTTCGGTCAGGTTTCTATGGCAACCACTGTACTGAGACTTTCCTGATTAAGATATTCAATGACATTTGTATAAATTCACTGTCAAAAAACCATAGTGCTGGTATTATTAGACCTAAGTGCAATGTTTGATACTGCTGATCACTTATTAGAGCATCTAATAAAATAAGGTATGGATTAGCCTTTCTCATACCGCACTGGATGGGATTAAATCCTACCTGAAGGAAAGGGACTTTAGCCCCATTTACACGACCCTTTTGAAACCGTGCTGACCACAGTCTGAGCACTATAACTAAGATAACTGTTGAGTGTAAATGGAACGCAACTGAAGTGGACCATGCCAGACACAATATGGATTCAAACAGGTCCCGCCTTCTCCAGCTTTCACCACCTGTGCGCTCTGATGCCCAGCAACCGTTGCAGTCAACACAAAATGCAGGAAAAGAATGGATACTGAACATCTCACTGCTGTTTCTTTTTAATTCGTTTTTTTATTGTAAAGTGAACAAAGCGTACATGCATGAGAATACAGAGTGGAATAAAGGTGACAACCACTGTGAGCGTCAACAAACATAAGCAAATGTATTGATATCAAGGGGTAGAAAGATACCCCTTGATATCAGTACATTAAAGTAAATCTAAAGTAAAGTAAATCTAAACAATGTATGTATAAAAATATTTATATACAAATTTTCTTATATTAAACAATGAAACATACTTAGCAAATTGTGCAAAAAAGCAATAAAAAAATAACTGGGCAGGTACATTTGCATTAATGCATAAACAAATATCTAACTACAGTATGCAAAATTGGCCATTTTATTGTCTTGATGCTTTGCATTAAATCAAATTAGCCAGGGATGCATGATCAGACAGTAGCTGCGAACCACCAGTCAAAACCACTCTTCCTAATGATATGTCTTTTTTTATGCCATACCATCTATTACCACTATGTTTGTGAACGACCCAGAAATTGAGGTTGACTTGCAGCAATGGTGACCCCTGATCTATAACATGATATACATCACTTGTATGTCACTTGTATGTATTCTAACATGACTGTTAGAATTATTCAGTAACCTCCCAGTAATACCAACAGGCCCTGAATTAGTTCTTGTATCATGGATTTTTTTTCACATTTTTATCATTACAACCTTGTCCATAAGTCATCTCCTTTGCTATTTACAAAAAGCTGAACAGAAAATATTCTTTAGTTAAACAGCTGTGCCTCTGGGATCTGCTTTTATTTTAGTTTACACATGAGAAATTATCATTCACCCAGAGGACAGTTGGAGGAAATTAAGCATAAACTTCACTTGCTGAAGTGTCTTACAAAGAAGGTTAGATATGTCAACAGGTTTGTTTTAAGTAATATAGGAATGGTAGCAAAAAAATAGAAACTGCTATTAAGTTTTTGCAAGCAAGAATATTCTTTTTTTGTAGATAAAAACATTATATTATCTATATTTTATTCATATTTTATAGAACATGCATTGTTAAGAAATATCATGATAGAAATCACGAAGATGCTAAATACAGATTTGAATGCAAAACTGAGTTTACATTGTCATAGATGATTAACGATAGTTCAGTGGGTGAAATGGACGTACAGAGAAGTTCAAACCCCATCAAAACTCTTTTCTCTGCAAATCTCACACTTCTAAACTTCCACCATAAAACTGGAAAATCCAAACAAAGCCCCAAGTTGACATAAACTCAGGGATGTTGCCTTATTTGGTTCTGGCATGTACTGTACTTTTGTCCTGAAATTGAGGGGAGTGGGGGGTCCAATAATAAAGGCGGGGGAAAGGATGCGGCTGCCGGTGTCCAGGCTACCATCACCGGTTCAGGTTTAGTCGCTTCGTCTCCCGTTGGCTCCCTGCACCCGTCTGCCAGGGGGGTTCCCGGACCAGCCCCGGAGCTGATGGCTCGGTTCGAGTGCCCGCACTGTATTCGACCAAAATCACGAACGATTTTGAAATCCCCCTGGAACTTTTTTACATGAAAAATAGGGAATGTCGATGTTTCAGTGAGTGTCGATGTTTCAGTGAGTGAGTGCTTTTTGCTATGATGCGTCTTTGCTCAGCTGCCATGCTTGTAAACCAACCAATCAGTGCATAGCTCATCTAAATATTAATGAGCATACAATAAAATGAAGAAAACTTGTCGTTTCATTCTAGGGCTTATAACCAGGCTTGGATTAGGGCTCATAGAACAGCAAATATGCCATTTTTGACCCCTTTAACTAATGCTTTTTAAAGGTATCGGGGCAGAAAGTTAATGAAAGTTAGTGATGTAAAAAATTTGAATGTGACATGTTACATTGAACAAAAAGCTCAAACTAATCTAAAGAAAAGCAAAAAGGTTTTTGCTTAAGCTTGCTAAAGTTGATTCAAAGTTCCCTCGTGAGACATGAGACACCTTGGTTGAGAGAGAATGCCAGAGAGAGTCATAATGTTTGGCTGTGTAACGGAGATTACATCCAACATTAAGCCGCTTACAGTGAGGAAAACAAATCACAACAGTAATGACAAAATTCCTGATTAAGACCTGGGTTGAGACTGATGTTCTTTATGCTTTCAGGATTAATCATCTGCAAAATTCTGGGATCCTTTTAATAACAAAGGAACATTGCAGGAGAAGGGATTAAAATTATAAGATATAAGATCTTGGAATCCCGATTGGAAATGTAGGTCATGATGAAACTCATCTAAATATGAGCAGATATAAAACAGGAAAATGTTTCAAAGATAACACATATGCTTTATTGTACAGTGTTGCAATTTGCATTAAAGGGATGTTTTTGAAGGTGCTTTTCTTGCCCAACAATGAAGGCCTCAGAGCGAAGGTCTTCAAGAGGGGGTCCACGACCCCTTGAGGGTCCAAGGAGGTACTGCATGGGGATCGTAAAAGTTTTGGTTGATTAGACTTTTTTTTATATCTCCCCCTGCAATTGTTTCCACTAATTAAAATGTCTTTAAATGCAAATTAACATGAATTCAACTGAATTCACACTGAAGTAAACAGATAAATGGAGGCAGAAGATGTCTTTCAGTCTTCAATGCACACATTCAGCGACACACAGGAGCTCTTTCAAGCTGGGCACTGTTTTATTCACAACACCTGTCCCATCAAGGAGGAATCAGAATCAGAAATACTTTAATAACCCCAGGGCTAAATTATTTTCGTTACTTTACTCCATCTGTAATAGTGACAATAGGACCCGTTTGAAATAACACAATTTTAAAACAATATATATAATTAGGTGGTCCCCTCTCCATCTCGCCATCAGTTTGGGGGTGGGAGGTGGGGGGGTCCTTGGCCTGGAAACATTGAACACCCTTGCCTTAGTGAATGGTTATTGAACAAACAGCAATAAGAAGATAAGAAAGACAGGATACAGGTCAGGTCAAGCTACAGTCTCTCATCAGAAAATGGAAACATTTTTCCATGAAAGAGACACAGGTTCAAAATTCAAGTCTTCACAAAAAAATGGTAAG